ACCAGCAAGCCCATTAATCGTTGGTGGGGAAATTTTCCTCATTGCCCCTCCTAGAGTACTTATTTACTATGAGGGGCCTCACAGAGGGCGCCCGTGAAATAATCTACATAATAAGATTCAATTTCAGCCAACAAATTCATCAAGAAAATCTTCTCATTCTCAAATTCATTCACATAGAGATGTCCACTAAACAACCCCATTGTGACTAGTTTTAACAACAATCTACGATAGAGTTCTTGGAATAAAAGCCACATCAAATAAATGAACATAAAGTTTCTAAATGAATGTAACCAGAATTCTAATTTCAATAGAAAAAAAATAAATTCCTAAGGTCACGAATCTCATGAAGAGTTTTTCTTTTTATTCATATGATAGGCCCCCAATTACTAGGGTATATCAATGTAAGCGTCGGAGAAAGAGGGAGTCGGTGTGAGTGGGAGTATTAAGTAATTGTAGGTGGGCCCATAGAGCATATTTGTTAGTTTGGTGTGGACCAGAGTGATATATGGCGGAAGGGGTGGCTGTTTTGGGTATCTTTTTGCTGAATATCAGGTCTGTGAATTCTCTGTGAGAATTGAGAAAGGCAGGGAGCTCTCTAAACTCGCTTGACTTGTGTTGATAAATAAAATTAAGGCTTAGGCCTATTATCATACATCTCTTCTACCCCAATTTAATATCAATTGTCAATATCTCTTCAAGTATTAGAAACTTGAAGCAAGAGAAAGAGAATTGATCAATCTCACATCAGATATAAACCATGAGGCAAATTCTTTCACGGAAAGATTAATATCATATTTTAGCCTAACAAACATAACTACAAAAACCATCATCACCCATCTAACTATTTCAATAATCTGCTTGTTCTATTATTATTTACTTAAAAACAATATTCACTCTCAAAGGCGTCTACAGACTCCAGCGAACATATGCAATCAGTCAAAATAAAAAACTAGAAAGGTGTACAATTAGGTTACAATACAACACAGTTCATTCAAAACATAATATTCTAAATCTAACAGAGAACACCATGAATGGAGTAAAAATTCGAAGCACTCAACCAATGGCAAAACTGCCATGTTTCTCTATCAAGACGATATTCTTTCTCAAATCAAAACCAACAAATGGATTCAAAGAACTCAGCAAATAACAAAAACTAACTTAAATATCCTCCACAAAAGAGCACAAGAGACTAATTTGATTCTGAATGAAGTTCTTGCCCTGACGAGCACGTCAAGCCGGAGAAGACAGCTGCAAGCTGTGGTAGCAGATCTACTCGCTCATTCTCATGACTCATGGGTTTGGGAGATAGAAAGGGATGATGAGGGATTCCAGGCTTTTCGACAGAGGGTGTGTGTGCTTGGCTTGCCTGAAAACAAGGGAAGGGGATAAAGAAAGACAGGGTTTTTATAACTCAAAACGAGCCTCACCCTCTTCGTAACATGAAAAAAGTGTTTTTTATCCAACTTTTCGTGACGGGAAAAACGTCACAAAAGGCACATAATTGAAAAACTTTGCTTTCTCGCACCAAAATTGTGTTTTTTTACCTCTTGTGACATTTTTATTTTTATTTTTTACTGTTCAAACGATGTGATTTGGGACAAATTGCAAATAACATATTTGCACAAGGTTTAACAGCCACTATCAAAGTCAAAGTGGTTTACTTACTCTTCCATGAGGTAATTCAGAAAGTAACTGTAATGAATAAGATTCGGATAATTACTAACAACATGAACTCATTACTACAAACGATTATAGAAAACAAAGCTCACAAACTTACTCAATGATTTAAGCGGGCTAATGTCAAGGTTTCAAACAGATTTCTATAGGTACCATACTAAAAATCATAACCTATGCAATCAAATTTAAGCCATTACAGATGCAGATGTTTTGGTTAAAATGACAAAAATTCCAAAAAGCTTTCTATTAACAAATTAGACATCATAAATTTGTGTGCTTCATTAACTATTAACCATTCTACCACCAACTATCACACACTCACCAGCACGTATCGAATATTGGACTCACATGAAGTTAAAATTTAACAGAAGAACAGAAACAGATCAGCCCAGAAAAAATTCTTAAGGAGTAGAAGAGTTTACCCACAAAGAAAGGCCATCTCACGGGAGGATCAACATTGCAATTTCCTCGAAATTAGAAACCCGCTTAGATTAACATTGCAATCTCTTGTGAGCTTGTGGGAAAGGGACTGAATTTTGTGGGGGTGTGAAATATTTGCCCCTGTTTTATCCCAATGTGCTACTGAGCTGGAGCTTCCTTCAAGTAGCAGTTACGGTGTTAATTTGGTTGATATGTGATATACCGAATTTTAGTTGGAAACATAAATCAATAGGCTTTAAATAGTCTTATTCTTCAGTAAATCTGTAAGCATATTATTACATGCTACAATTTCTTTCTCCAGTAATTGAATAAAGATAGCTCACCTTGTAAAGTGGATGAAGGCCATCAATGGCTGAACCACTATAATCTTCGTTGTTGATTTCTTCTGGCTGAGTACTCTCCTCTTTCGTCATCACAGGGGGAGCAAGAAAATCAAACGTTTTGGTTTTGCGATTAAACGGGAAGATGAGATGCCAATGAGAAGAGGAAGAGGAAGGTTGAAGGTTAGATTTGAAGAAAGGGCGGCGACAAGTGGCGTCGACATGGCTGCTAAATTCATCAGCTACAGAAGGTTTTGAGTTGGCGGAGAACGGGAGAAGAGAAGAGAAGAGAACAAAGGAGTTAAAATTGAAAAGTGGCTTTTTCGACTGAAGGAGATGGCCGAAAGGTAAAAAGAAGAAGAAGAGCCCAAAAGTAAAACCTAACCATAAAAATCATATAATATATAATATATATTTTAATTTAATTTACCAGGTGGAATTGAATGGACACAGAAATCATAAAATTGGTCAACTTGACTTATTTTAACTAAAAAAAATGACATATACTTCCAACTATTTATATCTCGGTAAACTATAACTTCATTAAAAACAAATAACTTTGTGGAGTCCACATCATATTTTAAAGAAATATTATTAAATTAAATTTAGTATATTGTATTTTTTTTAAATGTCATTTTTTAGATTTTTAAGGGAGGCGTTTAGACAACATTTAAAGATAATAATAAAACATTAAACATAACGGTTCATCAATTTATTGTATGTTTGGGAATGATTTTGTCATAGCCAATATCACTTTTGGCATTGTCAAAATCACTTCCTTTTTCATTAACCATATTTGTCAAATTTAAAAATTGATTTAAGAAAACTTAAAATCAATTCTACTTAAATCTCTTTTTTCTAAAATCATTAATTCTATTATCACTCCCAAACACACCTTTATACTTCTTTCAAGTTCAAAATAATAATAATTAATAATAAACCAACTTCTATAATTAATTATTATTAAAGATAACATTTTTTTTTATTTTTTGAAAGTAAAAAGGTACTTTTTTTTTTATATTCGAATTCATATTTTTACCTAATTTTGGGTCATTATATTAGCTTTTTGTTATGGGAACATAAAACGAGATCATATTAAACAACGGAAGAGAAAAGTTCGGCCATGAGAGGAGCGGGTGCACGACACCAGGTAAGGAGGCCAAAACTCCACGACTCGGGCCGGCCATAACCGACCAGGCCTCGGCTCCATGGTCGAGAACTCTGACGGTACTC